GTTCAAATGGAGATGTCCAGACAGGGACAGCTCAGTCTCCATCTTGAAATGATCTTCACATCAATTATCAAACTGTTAGTCCTGAAATTGCCGGAATCCTTCACAGTATTTTGTAGAGGGTTACAGAGGTACGTCACAGCTCGTGGACAGATGTGGAATAAAGTGGGTGCAGCTCTGAATGACAGTTCTCAGTCGTGGTCCTTTTGTGAGGCATCAACAATAAAGAAGAGATAACAAATGATTTCAAATGCTGCCGCCCCTGCAGCATTAAAAAAAACAATTACATAAGGGGGGTACGTTTTGTAACAAAGCGCTAAAACCTAACATGACAATCTATAACATAAACCACCATGTTCACACAACACTTTTTTATTTACTTCACTTTTATTTCAAAGTTGCCTTGTTCATTTCAGTCGTGTGTAAATACATACATGTACAAGAACAAACTAAATATAGGTCATACATTGGGTGGAAAAAAAAGCATAAAGACATCAGTAATTGTTGATCTAGTCAGTCCTTAAATGGCTCGACTTCAACTAACGACGGATGTTTTCAACGATAAATGGGCGACAGTAATCCTACAGTTATCAAGAATGATTAAGATCAGAAATTCAAAACTCTGCTGGGACGGTTCTGCATGTAAGGGGTGTTGGACTGATGTAGTGAGGGATATGAGGACACATATGATTAAACATATAGGATATCAAGTATTGGCCGTGTCTGTGATACATTTCCAGACTACTTATATTTAAAAGTTGCCTTGTTCATTTCAGTCGTGTGTAAATACATACAAGTAAAGTTAAAAATAATAATAATAATTGAAAAAAAAGTAAATGATAGAATCTAGTGAGACATTGTGTAATTATGAACATAAATGATCATCTTTGATAATATGTAAGCCTTCCTGTAAAGGTGTTTTAAATACCATCCCGACAAGTTGTTCAGCACTTTTGACAGAAAGCGTTTTAACGTTTTAACAGGCCTCTCCATTCACAATATGCTGTACTTTAACCACAAAGAACAGATCATCTATGGAAAGCTCCCATCCATGGTGGTCGACCACTGTGGCTGTTCTTGAGGAGACCCTGGTGTCTGCAGGACAAATTTAGAAGCTTTGTTTTCAGTGAAAGGGATGTAAAATATTTTGTCTGAAGTCTAAACTAAGACCCAGGAGCATCCCATTTAGAAAGGGGCACAAGGATTACTTCCAAGGACAGGACTCTGAAGTTGTTTCTTAATTCACAAGTTTGGCTTACAGCTGATTTTAAAACATAAACACACACACACACCTGTTCCTATCAGAGCACACACACATGACCATGCACCAGCCATACTTTGGTACACACAAAGACAAATGAACAACCAGCTTTATGCACTAGTTGAAGTTAAGCCATATTATTCTCTGCAGGTTCCGGTTGCAAGGGTCAGTTAACATCTGTCCATTTTTGTAGAGAACAACATTAATTTCACATTTTTTAAATCTAAAATACAAGAATCTTCTGGTGACAGTGAATACATCTTCCCCCCTTATTTGTTTTTACATTTGTTTTTATGTGATTTTACCACATCCTCCCGGATAAAACCTCCACTTTAGTTTTCTCTGAGCAGCACAGAGTCAAGAAGGAGGAGGGACTGTTCCAGCTGGGTTGTTGAACTTAGAGAAAAATGAATCCAGCCTTTCACTGAGTTGAGTTGCTCGTTCTAATAAGATGTCTTTAACCTCAAGAGTTCATTCAACCTGACTCCTTTCCTTACATTTTCAACCTGAAGGACGGGAAACAGATATGATTATCAAATTGTTGCATTATTTCTTCATTTTAAGATCACAAAGTGATAAGTTAAAACTTAATGTATTGCTTTGGGAAGGCTGCAAGGTTGCAGAGACAAATAAGGACTGGATTTCCAAAGAAAAAATAGAGAAGGAAAACTTAATGCAACATCAGTTCTTTAATATTTATCATGTTGAGAAATGTCTTTTTATTCAACCTTTTTAAAAAAGTAATGTACCTAAACGAACCTTTAAGTCCGAGCTCTTAACACCGAATGAATCTGCTTTTGTTCACCAGAAGATGGCGCAGTGGAACCAGCTTCAGATGCTGGACTGCAAGTACCTGGAGCAGGTGGAGCAGCTTTACGATGACTCGTTCCCCATGGACATCAGGCAATACCTGAGCAAGTAGATCGAGAGCATCGACTGGTGAGAGGGGTTTTTTGTAAAGTAGAACAAAAGTTTTTACTTTACCAGAATAGAGATCAGAGCCTCATTTGTCTTGTGCTCCGTGCCTCTTCAGGGACACAGTGGCGATGCAGGATTCCTTAGCCACAGTTCAGTTCCACGACCTCCTGGCTCAGCTCGACGACCAACATAGCCGCTTCGCCCTGGAAAACAACTTCCTGCTACAACACAACATCCGCGAGATTAAGAGGAACCTACAGGTCAGAACATTTATAATGCCCCCTGTCATGTAATGATCACATTTTGACAGAACTTATCCATCTCTCGACTGGGCTTTACCAGACACGTTCCTCAAGACGTTTACTGTTCAATGTTCCTCGAGTCAGATCGGAACTGGGAAAATCTGCTTTTTCTTATTCTGCACCGGACTCATGGAACAACATACAGCATCTTCTTGAGGGAAATGAACTCTTACCTTTTGGGCATTTTAGAAACCTGATTTTAAGCCTCCCAACCTCTGTTTGTAACTGTTTTACATAAGTGTGTTTTTTTATTGCAGTTTTGTACTCGCTTAATTATCTTAGTACATTTTAACCTTTTGTAGACTGATTTTAGCAGTCTTGTATTATCTGTCCCCTGTTTTTATTTTTGATTTAATGTCTGTTTTAAATTATTTCTGCAATTACTCGATGTCATTGTAAATGAGGGTTGCCCCTCAATGATCTTTCGAGTAGAAAGATAAAGATAAACTTTATTGATCCCCCGTGGGGGAAATTTGTGCATTACAGCAGCTCCAGAAAACAGGGGACGGGAATATACTTATAAAAAATAAGAATAGAAGTTAAAAACAGATCAAACATATTTACATCATTTAAATAAAAAAAATACAATAATGTAAAAAAATATAATAATGTAAAAAAATACAATAATGTAAAATTACACAGTAAAATAAAGGCTCAACAATAACATTCAACCTTTATGAATATCAGTGAGTAAAATATTCAAAGCACATTAGTAAATGTTAACTGGATGCCGACCCTCCTGTCGGATTACCTGAGCTATGAGCTCTGGAGTCGCCACATTAACGATGTCAAACGGACCGAACCTGGAGCGCCAGATGGGCCCGAACAATCTCTTCTGTACATCCTAGAAACACCAAGTCAGTGTGTAGAATGAAAAGTGTAAACTTAAGAAGAAGTAATAACATTTCTACAATGTGTAAATGAATGAATTTACCAGAAACATGTGCAGGGAAGAGAAATACTTTTACACTTTTAAAAACACAGTTATTCTACCTGCCAAGTCTCCTGATATAAAACATATCAGGAAAAATCATTTAGAATTTTTTTGACCCTTAAACTAATTGAATCAATATTGCTCTACATTAAAATCTATACTATTTCTAGTATAGCAGAGTGTGTCTGCTTCATCTATCAATGTGACACACTTTAGATTAGACGACAGACTTTCATACATAAATCCCCTGCAGTGAGCTTCTGGTACTGGACAAAATCCTGTTATAGATACGTGTGTGTGTGTGTGTGTGTGTGTGTGTGTGTGTGTGTGTGTGTGTGTGTGTGTGTGTGTGTGTGTGTGTGTGTGTGTGCGCGTGCGTGCGTGCGTGCGTGCGTGTGTGTGTGTGTGCGCGCGTGTGCGCGTGTGTGTGTGTGTGTGTGTATGTGTCGGTAGTAAAAGAAAGAAAATAAAAAATATTTTGATTATAATTTAATCAAATAATTATTTATAATATTTTAAATGTTTATTTTAAATGTGTTTTCACTAAGTGTAAATCTTCCAGATTCTCCATCTTTACACTGCTTGTTGTGTCTATACTGCCCCCAATGGACAAAATGTGGAACTACATTTGTGTTTTAAAAAACATTTTATTTTTTCCCACTCTTGAGAGCGTAGTTAGCTCATATATGTCTTGAAAAATGAAGCATTAGCTATTCTGTCGACAATTGAAGGTATTTATTTAATTTAAACTAAAATGGTCTTATTTTTAGACTACAAATTGTTGGTACACTGTCCCCATCGACCCCGACCGGAAGTGGGGAAATATTGGATGTTAAATGAAACAGCATAGTTTGGCTGCCATCTAGTGGACAGGATTAGTAACTACAGTCAAACTATAGAGTTTATGAGTTTGTTTATGATTATTTCCTGATGTTTGTTGCTGTTTTTGTTGTTGTAGGCCAACAATGTCCCTGCCTGTTGTTGTCATCTCTAACGTCTGTCAGCTGCCCAGCGGCTGGGCCTCCATCCTCTGGTACAACATGCTGACCTCCGAGCCCAGGGTACACAACCAGGACTCTCATTGATGATTACAGATGTTTACTTATCACAAATATCAAACATACAATTAGGTGATATCTTAATGATTTAAACAAGTTTCACAGCTGCCACCTTAAATTCATAAACAGACCATTAATACAATCTGAATGTTGACGCGTGTATAGCTGTTTTACGGTTGATCTTTTGAGTATATTTTGATTTCTGTGCTTTTTATATTAAGTAAGGTTTTGAATAAAGATCTTCTATTCGTAACAGAGTGTCTTTAACTGAAGTTTTGCTAAAAGATCAGAGTTCTATAAACCAAATGGTTTGACTTTTTGTGTTTCCATCTCTTCTTCTTTCCTCTCCTCTCCCTCAGAATCTGAAGTTCTTCCTCAGCGCAGTGGTCTCAGCTGTCCGAGCTCCTCAGCTGGCAGTTCTCCTCCGTCACCAAGCGAGGCGTGAACCAGGAGCAGCTCAACATGCTGGCTGACAAACTGATAAACACCTGCAGGACTTTCAAACAGGCCTTTAACTTTTATTTATTTTTATCTTCAGGAGCCAAAGCCAAGAGGAACCCAGAGGGACAAATCCCCTGGACCAAGTTCTGCAAGGTGAGCCCCATTCAGCCTGAGATTTAAGATTGTCAACATCTATGATACTGTTTAATACCACAAGTTAAAAATGAATAAAATCTGTATTCAAATCTGTAATTTAACCAAAAGCTGCAATAAGAGAAACGTGTACAGGTTAGCAGATACTAATGGAGTCTTTTTGGTGCATCATAAAGTTAAAACTACATCTTCTCTTTGAACTGAATGTATTTGTCTGTAAGCAGAGTGCGAACGAGAAAGCGTATTCCTTCTGGTTGTGGATCGAAGGAATCCTGGATGTGATTAAAAGACACCTGCTTTCCCTTTGGAATGATGGGTGAGTGCTGCCGTCTTTCTTCAGTGTGAAGACACTTTTCTGAGATGTCAGGAGTTTTTCAGGAGTTTTCTGCAAGTGTGAAACCCCTTTAGTCTGTTTTCTAAAGGGGTCTGTCTCAGACAGACTAAGACAAAATAACCTGTCCTCTGATTGTAAGCAACACTCTCTTTTCTTTTTTTTTCTTCTGAAGAAAGCAAATCAATTCTTTTCTTCTTTCTGAGTGCAGACTTGGAGTGAGACCAAAACTGTCAACTGAGAAGTTTCTTCATTTCATCCAAGTCTTCTTTCTGTTCTCTCTTTCAGTGTCTTTGTTTCGTCAGTGGTTGAACTCTGATGATCATTTTATCTGCTCTTAGAGGTGTGGTAAAAACCCTCACTACTTTTAAGTTAGATACAGGTCAGTGCAGTAACCAGTCACCTTCTAGACACATTTGAGTGATTACATTCACTCTACTTGGAAGTCAAAGAAGTTATATTTTTGCCCGATAATTACGAGGCAGAAAAGGCTTAAAAAGACGTGGATTCAAAACAAAAACCCTTATCTGCCAGCTGTGTTTTATTTAGTTATAGTAGTTTACAGCTTTCATTGTCTGTTTTCTTTGATTTTGAGGAAACTTGTTTATTGTAGTCTTTAATTATCTACCACTGATAAGAAAATAAGAAAAATATATTGCCTAATATGTCATGGGAACACAATCTGCTTTCTTCCTCAGTAGTGAAACGCTCCAACGTACACAAGAATATGCAATCAATGAAGTTACACTTCAGATTCTTTGAGAGACTAACATGCATGTGTGATTAACAGACAATGGATTTTAATTAACATAAGCAGTAAACAGTTGCTTTTTATAATTAAAAAAATATGTTATCTGTGATTAAGTCAAGTCACATTTATTTATAAAGAAATAAAACAAAGAAAGCAGTTTGAATTTGTATCTAGAACAAGAAAGGTGAAAAAACAAAACTTCCAAATGCAGTAATTCACAGAGTGACCACAGGAGGGCGCAGTTTCACCTTTAAACTCCATCTTTACACATTAGTATCTCAAACTAACTTCGGAGCTTCAGTACAAAGTTTTCACTCATCCCGTGTCTTCATTTATCTGCTTCTTAGACACTTTGGAGAACGACAGGGAGAGGAAGAGAGAAACTGGAGGTAAACATCATTCAGCAGTGAATTTATCTGTGAGTAACAATTCAGTCAGTGTCCTAAAGACCGGAAAACAGGTTAGCTTCGTCCCCTGCTAACGAATGCAGTTAGTTACCATGGTGACCCGAGTTTGACTTTCTCATGTTGCTTGGTTACCAAGAGTTCAAAGTTTAAAAAACATAAAAACAAGTAAATTACATTAATAAATATTTTTTATCAATAAAACATTTGATTTTTGACTTAGTCTTGTTTTTGTGTCCTCTTATTTATAACTTTTTCGTTTCTTCCATAGAAACTTTCTGCGACACTTCCTGTTGGAGCTTCCGGTAATCACGCCCAGGTGTGTTCAGGTGTTCTCAGGTGTGTATGTCATTGTTTCGAGCAGGTAAGCGGTGCGGACCGCGGGCAGCCTGGCTGTGGATCAAAGCGGTGGAAGAAGAAGGAGCCGGGGAAGGAGAGATGAAGTCTAGATACTCAGTGAGTCTTTAAAAGTTCAGTTTTGTGTGAAAAGCCACAAAATAGAAACACGTGGGGCTGTATGCTAATGCTAACACGTGGGCTAATGCTCATGCTAAATGTTTGTTAAGAGGAAACATCGTCAAAGTAAGATGATGATAACATTTATCAACATTATGAAGGTAACTTTTGAACTTGTTTTCTCCTGTTAAACTAATTGTTTAAACACCGGGTAAAAGTAAACTTTAAAAACAAAACTTATAATTTAAACTAATATCAGATTGAAGAGTTTAAATAAAACAATAACCTCAATTTAAGTTTATTGACTAATATGTAAATTAGTTAATCCGAGGTAAAATGATTTTCTAAACATTACTGTTCACAGAGCTCAGAGATTAAATGTTCATCTTGATAAAGTAATATGAATAAACTTCTTTATTTAATTTAAAAGTAAAAGCTCTTAATCCAGTTTTCTGTGTTTAATTCAAACTCAAAGAAACAAAAGTCTGATTAATTTATTTTAAACCTTTAACTTTAATTTGAGTCTTTGTTCTTGTGACAGTTAATGTATGGTAAAGATGTTTCTATATTATATTCTACATTTAAACTTTAAATTTAAGTTTGCTTCGGTCTCATCCAAAAGCCTTAAAGTGAAGTTAAATACAGATAATTTACAGTGAATGATGAAACTCAGGTTTATTCCAGTCATCACAATGTTTTATAATCACAAACATTTTGAGTTTTATTAACTTGATGAACTAAAATGTGTTTTTCTTCTCCAACAGGAACTCTGTCGAGGACGTCTTCCTCTTCCTGCTCAGGTAGGAGACTCAAAGCTTTCTTAATGTTGTTTTATTATGTTCCAGGTTTTAGGTCTTATAGATGTTTAGACTCAGTTATTTTAATCATTTCATCCTTTTTGGAGTGGAGGATCATCAGGTGTTTAATGAAATACTACATTTTTATAATCCTTATTTCATTAATCACCTGATGTTCCTCCACTATAACAAGGATGAAATGATTAAAATAACTGAGTCTAAACATTTATACGACCTAAACCTGGAACATAAAACAACATTAAGAAAGCTTTGAGCTCCTACCCAATGGGGACGCCTTATTGTGCTGATGTAACGTGTACAAAAAACAGAGGTCATGGCTGGTCAATATTTTATTGTAATAAAACTACTGCTGTCCATTCTGCATCAGTGACTTCTGTAATTATGTTCTGGTTATCTGCCAGGTGTTTTATTTATAGTAGCTTACAGCTTTTATTGTTCTGAGGAAACTTGTCTGGTTATCTACCCAGTAAGCATGTTTCCTAATGGAAATTTATCAATATTATAAAAAAATCCAAACTTCAAATGAAGACATGTCACAGCTTTGTGACAAAGAAGGAAACAACTACAACAAAACATCTATTAGGAATTGAAGATGCTGACAACACAAACATGAAACAAATTAAGACTTTAAAATTATTAAATTGTATTATCAAAGTGTGTTAAGAGAAAACTGCAAATGAAAATTAAAGAAAACAGACTTAAAACTAAATCTATAGCTGAAAGATAAGAACAACAAACTATGACTGAGAAAACTAAAACAGCTAACAAGTAAACTTTAATCTAAAGAAAATCCTTCCAGCTGCAGCACAGATCCTACTCTTCAGAGTTCAGAGCGAGGAAACACCTGGAATATAAGAAACAAAGACATCAGGGTTTAAAGTTCATGTCAGGTTGCATCTATGGGTAATTTACAGCTAGGATTGTAAAATGAGCCATTCTGATACATTACTAATTTTCAATCATTTAATTAAGTCAAAAGAATCTACATCTATAAAGAGAGTGTTAAGATTAAAATTTAAACATTTGTAGCATCATGTACATTTTGCCCTACGAATAAAATCAAGAATATGACTATATGTGACTGAAACGGTTAAAATAAACACAAGAGCCAAGAAAAATACTCACCAAATGTTGAAGGAAGCAGGTGAGGCAGCGTGGTGTAGCATACATGTTAACAGCTCTTTGTCTTGTTTTGGTCAGGCTGCCCCTAAAAGTTACAACAAAAAAACACATCACAATTAGTTTAAACTTACAAAATGTTAGTTATTGTAAAGTGTCTGGAGACAAGTGAATAAAAATGGACTGATTCATGAAAGTTAACATTAAGTTTGTTCATCATGTCACATTGGGCCTGTTTTTTTGGGAGAGAGAGAGAGAGAGAGAGGTGTACATCTGTGATCAGGTTCAGCTGTAGTGCATTAGTCCTTAATGTCGTTGGTTATCTGCCAGCTGTGTTTTATTTAGTTATAGTAGTTTACATGTTTATTGTTAGCCGATAAATCTGTCACCCAAAAGGAGAAGTCAATCAAATCCTTTTGAGGACCAAGACCTTGAAGCTCATCATACAGAGCACTGATAATAACTTTAATTATCTGTGGTTTTTAACATCCTCTCTCTCTAGAGCTGCTGGTTGAGTGTGTGAAGAACAAGGACTTAAAGAAGGTGAGTGACAGTTTCATCTCTCACTACAGACCTTTGCACCTCATTTCTACATACTCACATGTGTCTTTGAATTGAATCATCAGCTGCAGGAGCCGCACCTGGAGGGAGCTGCACCTGGAGGGAGGGAGCCGCACCTGGAGGGAGCCGACCTCACGTCACTCGACTCGTCCGGCTGCAGGTTACGTCACCACGCTGCCAGTGCAGGAAGCAAAGAGATGGTCCTCTACATCCTCCACAGGTGTGTGTACAGTCCTCCACGTGTTTGGTGCTCGTAGGTTGACAGTCAGACAAACTCCTCTTTTCATTTCTTCACCAGATTGAATAAGGAGTGAAACTACAAGACACAAGAACATTTAGTTTAGTCATAACCAAAGTTCTACAATAAACAATAAACTAATACATGACAAAAGAAAGCTTAGTTGTTAACTTCAGTCCAGTGAAGAAACTTACATTTCTGTTGCTGCCTGCTGTGTGCAGCCTTGAAGATGAAAGAAGGAACCCTTAACTTCCTGCTTCCTTTATAGGCAGGGCTTGATGAGTCACTTCCTGTAGCAGTCTCTGACAGGCCAACAGGGGGTGCCATTGCACCATGTGTAGCTCATTTAAAGAATCCTTAGTAGTTGTTGTTTTTACCATTAATGAATGTATGTGGGTTCTTTTCAAAATAGGAATATGATGTTTTTTTCTTTCTGTATTTTAGTGTTTGAATAAATGGGAAACTTTCAATGACAGGCTTGTAAAACAAAAAGTCAGTTCAATCAATCTTTATTTTGTAGAGCGCCAACTCAATCCAAATGTTATCTCAAGACACAAAAAGCAGGTAAGAGAGAGTCTTGTCTGGGTTAAAGGCAGGGTCGGTCATTTTCTAAAAATAGCATTCCCTCAGTGCTCCGTCTGCACCCACCCCAGAAGCAGACCTCAGCTCATTGCCTGCATTGTCAGGATCAAAAGACAATTTCAACCACAATCTTAAAAAGTGGATCTGGAGAAAATTACCAACCCGGCCTTTTAAGTAGTTTTTAGTCGTTCCAGAAAAACTGCAGTAAGTACAGATTATATTTGTGCTTGAAAACATCTAACATTGAACTGAAACCATGAGGTTTTTAAAATGCTAAACACTTTATTTAAATGTTAACAGAGTGTAGATGATGATGCTTTCAAACTGCCTGTGTCTGTATCTGTGCTCTGATCTCTGTTCAGTCTTTATGTGATGATATATGTGCCATTATAAACACAAGACACCAAAAGAAGCAGCAGGGGGGCCACTGTTGATGTCTGTTCCTCGGGTGATGTTGTCAGATGCTGTAATCTGACTCTCTCTCTCTCTCTCTCTCTCTCTCTCTCTCTCTCTCTCTCTCTGACCAGGGGGGAGACGGTCCTTCACCGAGCTGCGTCCCTGTCTCAAAGAACTATCTGTCATTATCTGGTCCAAGCAGGAGCCTCGCTCATCAAGACAGACCTACAGGTACAGTTCAGCTGTAAGGTAAAAGGTAATTAAAACAACAGCTCAAAGGTAAATAAAACTAAACAACAGCTAAAAGGTAAATAAAACTAAACAACAGCTAAAAGGTAAATAAAACAACATCTAAAAGGTAAATAAAACAACAGCTAAAAGGTAAATAAAACTAAACAACAGCTAAAAGGTAAATAAAACAACATCTAAAAGGTAAATAAAACAACAGCTAAAAGGTAAATAAAACAACAGCTAAAAGGTAAATAAAACAACAGCTAAAAGGTAAATAAAACAACAGCTAAAAGGTAAATAAAACAAAACAACAGCTAAAAGGTAAATAAAACTAAACAACAGCTAAAAGGTAAATAAAACAACAGCTAACAAGTCAACCAAAAAAGCTAACAGGTAAACTAAGACAACAATCTCTTCATCCAGCCTTCTGTGTTTGATTTACTCAAAGAAACAGCAGTCTGATTCATTTCTTATTTAAGTGCAGTAACCAACAACTAACCACCAGAGGGCGCCCTCTCCATATAAAGTGATTTATAAACGATATAATGCATTTATTTTAAACCTATACCTTTTAATTAGAGTCTTACATCATTGTTTGCTAAATTATTTATATTAAAGCTGCATTTTTACCTTAGACCTTTTCCTAGTAGCTTTCATTTTACTTTTCAAACTTTTAATCAATTTAATTAGTTTATTTTCCTTTGGTTTTCTTCATGAAAATACCACAAACCTTTTTATTGATTTAATTGAAATGATCAATTTGTTTGAATTTATTTTTATTTTTATTTTTATTTATTTTTTCTTACAGCTCATTGAGCTAGTTTAGATTAAACATAAATTAAAAGGAAACATTTACAAGTTAAAAAGGACTATCACAGACTTTTAGTTTAGGAGCATCTATGGCTCATTTACAGCTAGGATTGAACAATATGTGAAAAGTAAATGGGCCATTCTGATACATTACTCATTTTAAATTAACTAACTGTTTTTTTCATCTGAAAATACTTCTTACCTTTGTGAAAGAAAAGTCAAATAATATTGTTGCCACGAGCGGAGCAAATACGAGGAGGAGCAACCTGTACAAACAGCTGGATGACAAGAATAGACTAAAGTCAAAGACAAGACACAACATTAGAAGCACAGTTTGAAGACAACCTGCTTAAAGATTCTAAATACAAATACTTTCATTTTCTCAATTATTATTACTTGATGTCCTTTTCTTGTAATAATTCACAGGATGATGAGATCAACCAACAGAGTCTGGCTGACAAACTCAAGGAGCAGAAGATGGACACAAATCCGTTTGTACATCTCCACAAAACTCTGGAGGCACCACAAGCAGCTCAGCCGCCTCAGACACCAGATCCAAGACCAGCAGAGGATGATGGACGAGCTCATTCATTTACAATCATAAACTACTTCAATTAGAAGTGCCAGATTTTATCAAGCAGACATCAACATTAACTCTGGCCACATTATACATTTTATTTTCCTCCTTTTTGTTTGAACCAGGGCCTGTTACTGGAGCAGACTCATGACAGACAGCTGGAGAAAGATGCAACACTACAGAAGCTCATGTATGTACCAGCTAACACATCACATCTCCATTATTCATTAGTCTGTGTGTCCTCAATTCATCCACATTTTGTGTCCAGACTGCTGAATGATCAGAGGATCTGAAGGGCCTCCAGGACACGGTGTGAGTATTTCATCCCCCCATTTAAAGTGTCATGTCATTTAAAAACCCAACAGCTTTTGGTCCTCCTTGTCTGAACTCAGCTGAGGGTAGTGTTGTAGTCAAGAGCACACTAAGACCACACAGAGTCACAAATATGTGTGTGTGCAGGGGACGTTTTACTCACTTGGAGCGTAACACCAGGAAGGTTGTGGTCGTAACCGGGGAGTCAAGTTATTTGATGTTTTTTCCTTCTAGTCCCAGACCGAGACCTTCAAAATGTGGACTCTGATTGGCCTGTTTTTGTTAACGATGCTGAGGTTACCAAAGCAACAGATCACAAAAGGTCAAATGGACTCAGGAGAAGATCGAGAAACATCCAACGCAAGCAGACGAAATCATTTGAATGATCACCTGTCTGTCCATGTAGCTTTGTTTCTTTTCATCTGAACTCCTCGGTCTTCTTATATCTGTGAATCTGTAGCTCTGGATTTATCAACAGGAAGTGCTCTGGTTATTAACAGGAAGTGCTCTGGATTTATCAACAGGAAGTGCTCTGGATTTATCAACAGGAAGTGCTCTGGATTTATCAACAGGAAGTGCTCTGGATTTATCAACAGGAAGTGCTCTGGATTTAGCAACAGGAAGTGCTCTGGATTTATCAACAGGAAGTTATAAAGGAAACAGGAAGTTGAGGATTCTTTCTTTAATCTGCACACAGCAGGCAGCAACAGAAATGTGAGTTCCTGTACTGAAGTTAAAGTTTAACATTAGCATGTAGCTTAACATTAGCATGTAGCTTAACATTAGCATGTAGCTTAACATTAGCCTTGTTATAATTTGTGACGTATTGCATCTGATGTATCATACCACGTGGCTTAGCATTAGCATGTAGCTTAGCATTAGCATGTAGCTTAACATTAGCCTCATTATAATTTGTGACGTATTGCATCGAATGTAGCATACCACGTGGCTTAGCATTAGCATGTAGCTTAGCATTAGCATGTAGCCGCCGTATCTGTCTTCTCTGCAGCCTTCAGTATTATGAGTTTGGTGAGTCAGAGCGACACACACACACGATGAGTCATGACATGTCAAAGAAGACGATTGAAACAACTTGAACAACTTAAAAAAACAGTTTTTATTTCAAGTCAAACATTTTTAACCTTCTCTACAGATAGATGAACCAGACCTTTTCATTTCTACTCACATGAGTCATGCTGTGCTCCTCCATGAGGAACCTCTTTGTCTTTGTTAGTCTAAACTAAATGTAAACTTTGTGTTTGTTGGTCTAAACTAAATGTAAACTTTGTCTTTGTTAGTCTAAACTAAATGTAAACTTTGTCTTTGTTGGTCTAAACTAAATGTAAACTTTGTCTTTGTTAGTCTAAACTAAATGTAAACTTTGTCTTTGTTAGTCTAAACTAAATGTAAACTTTGTTGGTCTAAACTAAATGTAAACTTTCTCTTTGTTAGCTCAAACTAAATGTAAACTTTGTTGGTCTAAACTAAATGTAAACTTTGTCTTTGTTGGTCTAAACTAAATGTAAACTTTGTCTTTGTTAGTTCAAACTAAATGTAAACTTTGTTAGTCTGAACTAAATGTAGACTTTGTCTGTGTTAGTCTAAACTAAATGTAAACTTTCTCTTTGTTAGCTCAAACTAAATGTAAACTTTGTTGGTCTAAACTAAATGTAAACTTTGTCTTTGTTGGTCTAAACTAAATGTAAACTTTGTGTTTGAATTGCAGGAGCTGCACCTGAAGGGAGCAAAGAGATGATCTCCTCTTTTCATTTCTTCACCAGATTGAAGGAGTGAAAACTACAAGACACAAGAAGTTTAGTCATTACCAAAGTTCTGTATAAATTCAAACAATAAACTAATACAAGTTGTTGCTAATGCTAAGCTACATGCTAATGCTAAACCTTAACTTCAGTACAGGAACTTACATTTCTGTTGCTGCTTGCTGTGTGCAGATTAGAGAAAGAACCCTAAACTTCCTGTTTCCTTTATAACTTCCTGTTCCCTGAATGATCCAGAGAGAGGAGAGGTGTTCTTGGTGTTCACATATCATGTAAACAGTGTCTGTAGTGACTTCACTGATGCTCCATATTTTACTTGAGCTCCTTTTAACTTTGAACCATATTATTCTGATATATGATTGACCATATGTATATATAATAAATCAAATCTTATGTCATGGTGGGAACAATGAACCATTAATGAATTTAGGTTAGTACACTATATTTAGTTCATTAAGTCATCCAACACTTTTAAAAAAAGGGTCTGACAAAACTTCAGACACTCTTGATTTTCTTTTTCATAACCCTGTACTTGTGTTACTCATGAAACACCAGGGGGAACTAGCAGTTCCAGGTACTGATACCCTAGAAGCTGGACTTGAACCAGCATGTATGTATTGCAGATGCCAGGACAATTCCACTTGGCCACTGGTACCTTCCCACTTTGAGATTTGTTCCGGGCGTATTTATCATCGTCATTTCAGATTTTCACTTTAAAATTTGCCTTATAAGATTCTAATCCTCCATCACCAGACACAGTGGGATTTGAACCTAGGCTCGCCACCTACAGAGTTTGGAAACCGCAATCTTATCCACTACACTACCGATACCTTCACACTATGAGATGTGTTCCGGGCGTATTTATCTTCATCATTTCAGATGTTAGACTTTAAAATTCACTGAGTCCTGATAAGACTTGAACCCACAACCTCCAGACTCCAAGTCCTCCTTCTATCTCTTGAGCCACAGAGACAGATGCTTGACTATGTTTCTCAGATCTCTTGAGTCTTTCCTTTGGACCAATACCTTTAAGATAATGGTGTGTGTCCTGTGGATCCATACTTGCAGGTGCTTCACTGTGTTTCTCCTCTTGAGTCTTTCATTTTGGACCGACACCTTTAAAATTCACTGAGTCCTGATAAGATTTGAACCCACAACCTCCAGACTCCAAGTCCTCCATCTATCTCTTGAGCCACAGAGACAGATGCAGACAGGTGTTTCCTGCTGCATCTGTGTGTTGTTTTGTTCAAGTCTAAGATTTGTTTTTTAATCTATGTTAAATAAATGATTTATCTTTCTGTATATTTTGTCCAGACAAGAATAAACAGCAGAATAAACCTACAACGAGGTATAACTTGTAAGCATCGTGCATTCATGGAACGTGCAACACAGCTAAACGTGTGAGTAGCACTCTAAAGAAATGTGCCAAAATGGACACAGCAGTAGTTTTATTACAATAAAATATTGAACAGACATGATGACCTCTGTGTTTTGTACACGTTACGTCAGCACAATACAATAAGGTGTGACAGGTGAGGGGGTTACATCCAGCCAGTCCCCTTCCCCCCCACTATCCTCCAGCCCCCATTGGGTAGGAGCTCAAAGCTTTCTTAATGTTGTTTTATTATGTTCCAGGTTTTAGGTGGAGTTATGAGTTTTGTATGTTGAGCAGATTTAAGGAGTTATGACCTCCTTTAGACATGGACACACAGCGCTGGTATTACTTCCTGATCGAGGTAGCATCAGTGTCCTGTTAAAAGTTAAACTCTCTTTAACCCGTCAAAGGAGAAGTGATTCAAATCATTTTCAGGGAAAATAGTTAACTGTAACATTCAGGACACTGATGCTACCTTCAGGATAACGTTAGATCAGGAAGTAATACCAGCACTGGATGTCCATGTCTAAAGGAGGTCATAACTCCTTAAATCAGCTTTAACATAACATAACATAACATAACATAATGCTATGTAGCTGTCGACTAACGATACCTAATAGATTAAAAAATAATAATGTAGTTTTACATTAAACACCTGAAAATACCTGAGTCTAAACTTCTATACCACCTAAAACCTGGAACATAATAAAACAACATTAAGAAAGCTTTGAGTCTCCTACCTGAGCAGGAAGACGGCCACCGACGGGGGATCCTCCTGGAAGACGTCGACAGAGTTCCTGTTGGAGAAGAAAAACACATTTTAGTTCATCAAGTTAATAAAACTCAAAATGTTTGATTATACAACATTGTGATGATTGGAATAAACCTGAGTTTCATCATTCACTGTAAATTATCTGTGTTTAACTTCACTTTAAGGCTTTCGGATGAGACTGAAGCAAACTTAAATTCAAAGTTTAAATGTAGAATATAATATAGAAACATTAAGTATAAGGTCTTAAGAAACATCTTAACAGATCTATCTTATATTATAAGTTCTATAAGTTTGTTTAACTTTCACCTGATCAAGCTTTGGGGGGAAAGAAAATGCTCTACATTTACATATATAATATATATTTAGAGTTGTAATTGATCTGTGATATTATCAATGAACTTAATATAATGGAGCACATAAGGTAGGTGAAGAAGAGTTATGAGCATATGAAAGTTCATAAAATCAAGGCAAGGAAGAAGAATTTTTAAACAACCTTTTTAACTTGTAAATGTTTCATTTTAATTTAAGTGTTTAATCTGAACTCTCATTGAGCTGTAAGATGTACTCTTATATCAAATATTTGAATCCTAATCAAATAAGATTTAATCAAATTAATCATTTCAATTAAATCAATAAAAAGGTTTTGTGGTATTTTCATTAAGAAAAACTAAAAACTAATTTAATTAACTAAAAGGTAAAAATGCAGCTTTAATATAAATAATTTAGCATACAATGATGTAATCTTAAATATCAAATTACTTTATTGACTTACAAAATTAACTGTCACAAAAACAAAAACTCTAATTAAAGTTAAAGGTTTAAAATAAATGCATTATATCGTTTATAAATCACTTTATATAGAGAGGGCGCCCTCTGGTGGTTAGTTGTTGGTTACTGCACTTAAATAATAAATGAATCAGACTGCTGTTTCTTTGAGTAAATTAAACACAGAAGGCTGGATGAAGAGCTTTTACTTTTTAAATGAAATAAATGAAGTTTATTCATATTACTTTATCAAGATGAACATTTAATCTCTGAGCTCTGTGAACAGTAATGTTTAGAAAATCATTTTACCTCGGAGCTACAGCACAGAGCGAGGAAACACCTGCACACACCTGTACAAAGAAACAAGAAGAAAACCCTGAATGTTGAGTTCAAACAACAACTTTCTCTTCACTTTTGTTTGAATCTCTCAGACACACGATGTTGTTATGGTTCAGTTAGCATTAGCATTAGCATACAAACACGTTTTCTCTTCTTCGTCTTCAATTCTTCTTTTCGCAGCATTTTCATCCAAACTCGGACAGCCGTCATCCGCTCGAGTGGTCCGGGGTCGATATTAAGACCCTTTTTCAAACCGACCCCTCCACCAGGGCTCTCCAACAGGTAGCTCTTCATCAAGGTGTAGGTAGAAATACAGCGGCAGGCTTTGGGACAAACTTCCCTCTCTCAGGTGGAAACAGGAACTGTGTGTTACCATGGTTACTCAGCGGAATCTTACAGGAACTGTGTGTTACCATGGTTACTCAGCGGAATCTTACAGGAACTGTGTGTTACCATGGTTACTCAGCGGCATCTTGCGGGAACGGCTTTTTTTTTGCATTCTGTAAAAATCTTGATGTAGCCTAGATTATTCTTCCTCTTTATTTATATTAGTGTAGATTTATAACAAAACTATTAGATTGAGTCTACATTGTTTATTGTAATTTATAATTTAAGTTAATTTATTGTAATTGTTTTTATCAGGGTGTCCTAAATTAATGCAAAGACAAGGAGACTATTGTTGAACATCAGAGCAGCACAAAGTGTATTTTTTTGTTGTTGAATTGAGATTTCACAAAGACATCAAAAGTAAATATAAAACACTTTACAATAAATAAACATGTATTTGATCCTCAATAAAATACACATTGTTGTTGTTTACGTCTGTATGAGGATATTAAATGTCTGTCTTAGTTGGAGCAGTGTTTGAACTCACAGGTTGCTGTCTCCATGACGACGGGACACAATAGGCGTTGCACGTGATCCGAAAGTCGGCTTTTTAATAATAAAACTTTCCACAAGTGGAAGTGCACACACCTGGTATTATTCTATTATTCTATTATTTCTGCTTTAACTGATGTACCTATGTTTGCATTATTATTATTTTTTTATTTTATTTTTATTTTTAATAATTTATTCCTGTTTCCTGTTTTCTTGAGCTGCTGTAATGCAAACATTTCCCCTGTGGGGATCAATAAAGTTTATCTTTATCTTTAAGAGGATACATTTCTGTTGTAGTGACTGTTGGATGTAATTGTAACCCAGTGCCAGCAGAGGGCAGCAGTGTAATATGAATGCATGATGCAGCGGTTAATTAGACCTGACCTGTTAACCTCCAGGTGAGCTGTGTTGTAATATTTACAGTGTATGGTTGTAAAGTGTAGAAGTTACATTACAGCCAGCCTGATTGAAGATGGAATATCTGCCTCTTATTTAACCTCTACGCCACCATCACATCTGCCTGTCTGTTTGCAGTACATTAGGCCAGTTTAAAATCATCTCCAAGGGGAGTAAATCTAGAATCTAGTGAGACATTGTGTAATTAAGCTCCTTTCTGTGACAACAGGCTCAGACTGTGGTTAACTTTTGTACATCACAGCAACACAGATATATATATTTACACACTTTATTTCAAGAGAAGTATGGAGTGACCCTTTAAAATCCCAAAACAAACAGTAGATCCAAAACTATTGTTCAGGGATGTGTGAGCATGACGTGCAGCCACATCACCAACAGCAGCCACACATTTCACCAATATGGAGTTAATAATGCGACCATGGAAGCAAAGATCAGGCATCACGTCACATTCACAGTCTGGAGAAAAAGTTCAAATGGAGACGTCCAGACAGGGACAGCTCAGTCTCCATCTTGAAATGATCTTCACATCAATTATCAAACTGTTAGTCCTGAAATTGCGGAATCCTTCACAGTATTTTGTAGAGGGTTACAGAGGTACGTCACAGCTCGTGGACAGATGTGGAATAAAGTGGGTGCAGCTCTGAATGACAGTTCTCAGTCGTGGTCCTTTTGTCAGGCATCAACAATAAAGAAGAGATAACAAATGATTTCAAATGCTGCCGCCCCTGCAGCATTAAAAAAAACAATTACATAAGGGGGGTACGTTTTGTAACAAAGCGCTAAAACCTAACATGACAATCTATAACATAAACCACCATGTTCACACAACACTTTTTTATTTACTTCACCTTTATTTAAAAGTTGCCTTGTTCATTTCAGTCGTGTGTAAATACATACATGTACAAGAACAAACTAAATATAGGTCATACATTGGGTGGAAAAAAAAAGCATAAAGACATCAGTAATTGTTGATCTAGTCAGTCCTTAAATGGCTCGACTTCAACTAACGACGGATGTTTTCAACGATAAATGGGCGACAGTAATACTACAGTTATCAAGAATGATTAAGATCAGAAATTCAAAACTCTGCTGGGACGGTTCTGCATGTAAGGGGTGTTGGACTGATGTAGTGAGGGATATGAGGACACATATGATTAAACATATAGGATATCAAGTATTGGCGTGTCTGTGATACATTTCCAGACTACATGTATGTATTTACACACGACTGAAATGAACAAGGCAACTTTTAAATATAAGTGAAGTTCAAAAAAAAAAAAAAATAATAATTGAAAAAAGAGTAAATGATAGAATCTAGTGAGACATTGTGTAATTATGAACATAAATGATCATCTTTGATAATATGTAAGCCTTCCTGTAAAGGTGTTTTAAATACCATCCCGACAAGTTGTTCAGCACTTTTGACAGAAAGCGTTTTAGCGGTTTAACAGGCCTCTCTATTCACAATATGCTGTACTTTAACCACAAAGAACAGATAATCTATGGAAAGCTCCCATCCATGGTGGTCGACCACTGTGGCTGTTCTTGAGGAGACCCTGATGTCTGCAGGACATAGGCTAAATTTAGAAGCTTTGTTTTCAGTGAAAGGGATGTAAAATATTTTG